GCCTGGAGCAGCTGGAGGGTTCGAACTCTGACTTTGTGCTGACCCAATGCTAAATTCACTGTTCTACAAGAGGTTTTTAAGTTTTAATCATGCTATTATATCCTTATGTGCTTAGTTTACTACATCCTAATGTCTTAAAGTCACCAATATTTCTGTAAGCTAGAATCTGTTTAACAAAGTGATCATTATTTATATTTACCCTTTTCCTAATTTTTAAAATTCCTGTTCATTGTTAAAAATGCCTTCAATTATTTTAATCCATTAAGTTCTAACTCTTTTAGTACCTTGACACTTTTTCAATTTTAACTGAGATCACTGAATATATAATTACATGGTGAAGGAACCAAAAAGTTAATAAAAATGTAGTCATTTGTCACATGTAGTTACAATTTATTTCTTCTCATAAGGAAAAGGAAACATTTTTCAATCCAAAAGAATTATACACTCTTAATGAAAACGATCAAAGTCATAATAAACTAAAGAAGTAATAAAAATCCAACAATTCCAGATTCATGACTGTTTGCCAGCTTTATATATACTTTGGGGGGCCTTTCCCTTTTTTCCAAGCCTTCTTTTCTATGCAATGTATTTAAAGCAGAGTCTCGCTTTTTACTGTTTGCTTTTGTTTTCATGCAGTTGTGAACCTTTTCATAGATCGTTTACATATTTCTCAAAAATATCATTTTTAATGACCATATGATGTTTATGTAGTTTATGGAGCCATTGTTCTACATATTGGGTATGTTTATGATTTTTTTGGCCACTTTAAAATGCTGTTAATCTAAACCCACGTAAAAGGCATTTTGGCTGCATATCTCACGTATGAACTCCTTCATGCTGCATATGGTCACCCAGCCGAGTAGCAGCACTCATTTTACCACCCTTAGCACGCATCTTAACAGTTTTGTTTGTCAAAAAGTAAGTTTTTTGTCTGATTGTTGATGTAGTTTATCAATCTCTACAATAAATGTTTGCCTTCTTTCCTCTTCTGTGGAAGGCTACTTTTAAGATTGATTTGTAAAATGGTTTCACATATTAAGGAGTAATGGAGTGATTCTCCTCCCCCCCTTTCCATATGTATGAAATGCCCCCATGTTTATTTACAAAATCAATCTTTAGTGATGTTTACTCTTAATATCGTTTTCTCAGTCCTTATTAAAATGCTGGTTTTATTTAATATCCTCTTATACTATTCAAAGGAACGATATTTCACGACGTGTTTGTACGACTGCTTGGAAAGGGGTAGAGCATATGTGCATTATCATTAGTACCTATATAGTTAAGATTTTCTCTCCATTGCAATTTTCCCTAGCATAAAGAAAATACTAACGTTTTCTATATTGAATAATTTGTTTCACAAAGTTCTCTCCCTGATTGGTTAATTATGCTGTCTGCTATGACTTACTATATAGCTGGAAAGAGTGCCATGGATAATATTCTTGACCAAATGCCCTTTTCTGAATTTTTCCTCCCCTGGTAATAGAAAAGGAGCCCTGGGGCATAGTGGTTTCAAGTTGGGCTGTAATCCATAGAGTCCGAAGTTCAAAACCACCAGCTGCTTCTAGGGACTTTCTACTCACTTAAACAGAATCTCAGAAACTCACAGGGACAGTTCTACCCTGTCCTGTGGTGTTGCTTTGAGTCAACATTGAGTCAGGGAAGTGTTTGCTTTGATTAACAGAAAACTGCCTAGTAAGTTTCCTATTTAACTCTTATACACTTATAGATCCTATATAGACATCTCTTAAGAGTAAAATGCTCCAGGAAGACATTTTTCACTGGTTGAACTCAATTGCTTGTTTGTAAAACTTCTGGGGATTTTTTTTTTTAAATCTTGTCCAGTATTATGTTTGACTTGACTGACTTCATTGAAGCTAATTTTATTCAGAGAAAGAAGTGATCTTGCATTATGTATTGATACATACACTTATTGGCCTCTCATAGGAAACTCCTGTGCTTACCAGAATAGAGAAACAGAAGCGCAAGGAGGAGGAAGAGGAGCGTCAACTTCTTCTAGCAGTGCAGAAGAAGGAGCAGGAGCAGATGCTAAAGGAAGAGAGGAAGCGGGAGATGGAGGAAAAGGTCAAGGCAGTGGAAGGTATGGGTGCCCTCTGGGCTGTCCAAGTGGAAAGCCATCCTGCAACCCAGGGGATCACCCTGGGGCCTCCTCCGTAATCTAAGCTGTTCTAGCGACGCGTGTTTAAATGCCTTGTGAGCTGATTCCTGTCTGCTATTTCTCTTGTGCAACAATCTCTCTCATCTC